AAGGAGGGTCTAGCACCAATTCCAGCAGAGGCCTGGTATACAGACGGCTCCAGCCGGGGCCAGCCAGCCTCTTGGACAGCGGTGGCTGTCCACCCAGAAACAGACACTATTTGGCTCGAAACCGGGATGGGATGGAGCAGCCAATGGGCTGAACTGCGAGCAGTATGGATGGTGGTGGCCCATGAGCCTTCCCCTCTAGTAATCTGTACTGACAGTTGGGCTGTGTACAGGGGTCTGACACTATGGATTTCCATATGGAATTTAAATGACTGGACAGTTATACATCGGCCATTGTGGGGCCAGGCCCTATGGAAAGATCTATGGGATCTGGGGCATCAGAAGCAGGTGACTGTTTATCATGTCACAGGACATGCCCCATTAGCCTCACCAGGCAACAATGAGGCAGATACCCTAGCCCGGGTTCGATGGCTTGAAACTGCTCCAGGGCGGGATGTTGCACAGTGGCTACATAGACGCTTGCTCCACGCATGGTAGAAGACAATGTGGGCCACTGTGTGTGCCTGGGGTCTACCTGTAACTTTAAAAGAAATCCAGACTGCATGTGAAACATGTGTAGTATGTTCTAGGACTTACCCCCGGAGACCTTTTGCATCCACAGGCCAGGTGTTGCGGGGGCAGGTACCCCTGACACGCTGTCAGATTGACATCATTGGACCACTACCTCGCTCCGATGGACAACAATATGCTGTCACCTGTGTGGACACTGTTACTGGGTTATTGGCAGCTTACCCTGCTCCACATGCGGACCAAAAGGCAGTTTTGGCAGCACTGGCACACCTATGTGCTGCATATGGACGTCCGCTGGTAGTGGAGAGTGATCAAGGGACTCATTTTACAGGAGCCCTGGTGCAGCAGTGGGCCAAGAACATGGGTGTTGAATGGAAGTTTCACACTCCCTATAATCCCAAAGCTGCAGGGATTATAGAGAGGTATAATGGCCTACTGAAGCAAGGACTAAGAGCCACTGCCTCCACTCAGACGCTGGCCTGGTGGAGCCGATGTCTATGGGAGGTGTTGCAGACATTGAATGAGAGGAGCAGGTTAGGCGGCCTGGCTCCAGTGGAGGCATTGCTACATCGTGCCGCTGCTCCCATCCAATTACAAATAAAGACTGCAGACGTCTTATTAAAACCGGGACTTGGCCAGCAGGGCAACATCTTATTGCCAGCCCCAACTGGAGTGGACCCAGGGCAGACTGTGGACTGGGAATGGCCCTGGACAGTGAAGGCTCCCCACATGCGGTGGGTGGCTCTGATAGCCCCTTGGGGTCGTGGCCTGGAGGCTGATTTACAGATAAAACCATGGGTGAGTGCGCAGTGGCTGCCATGGGTGCGTGTTACCCACCCTGGAGTGGCAGATCAGCGGGCAATCCTCAAGGGGACATTTGTAATAACTCTGTGGCCCATTATGAGCTCTCCACTCCTTCTGCATGTAGAACCCACTGATGCCTCTTCACTGGCAAAGCGAGTGTGGTACTCACGACCTGGAAGGCCACTGATGCCAGCGACAATATTGTCCTCAGATGCCAAATTGGCATGTATATTGCCCGATGGGAGGGATCTCCCATTGCTGGTACCGGTAACTTCTCTGTCTTTCCGCCCCTAGGAAAATTAAGTTTAGTCATTTTGTGATGTATTTGCTTTTGTGGTCCATGGCTGCACTGTTTATGTTTGCTTAAAAAATTGTATATACGTGGACTATATGGCAGAAAACCCTGAGGGGGTGGACTGTAGGGTAAGGTAAAAGGTATCAGGCTTTTCTGCCCTCCCACCATCAGGATAGATGAGGGAGCCCTGTGATCCTGGGTGCATGCCTGATGGCAGGCACCTGAAGTGGTTCCACCTGAGCTAAGAGACTGATTTATAAGGGTGGTGCAGCAGAGTGCGGCGTGGTGGTGGTGCAGTGTCAAGGGTGGAGGAGTAGAGTGTACGGAGGAGAATGACGACTACAAACCACAGCGAAGAGCATGTGGCTGCTAGAACCGTTCATAAACCTGCTCGGAATGGGTTGGTTGCTTTACAGTGAGTCACAGCACCAGCTCTTAGGATTTGGGAACAAAGCCCTACTATCCTCCACAGGTAACTACACTCCTTTTGAGAACTAGCTTTAGACCTGTGACTAGGACTGAGACAGAAGGCTTCACCAAGGAACCATGCAACCTCAGCTGCCCATCATGAACTGAATGTTTATAAGTCATAAAATGGGTGTGAATCTTAGAATGCCATCATCAAATGGAAGTGTAATATACAAAATAGGGTCTAGCTGACCTTGAAGGCACAAGGAGATTATATGATGAAGTGGCCTAAATGCCCATGGTCCCCACTCCTGCCACACTGCCTGCTATCTCCTCAACATGCGAGGATGTAGCAAGAAGACAGCTGTTTGTGAACCAGGAAAAGGACCCTAACCAGACACCAAATCTGCCAGTACTTGATTTTGTCCTTCTCAGCTTTCAGACCTATGGGAAATGTTTGTTGTTTAAGTCATTCAATCTATATAGTATTTCTTATAGCAGCCCAAACTGACTAACATAGAAATAATAGAATGCCAGCCTCTGATCTAGAGTTCAGACTGCATTACACAATGGGTCTTACTATAATGACAGAAATGTTGCCACTAGCCACATATGGCTGTTGAGTATTTGAAATGTGACCAGTGCAACCAAGACGGTAAACATTTAATCTAGCTGTCCCTTATGCTCATGTAGCCCTTATAATTTCTCAAAGGATTAATAGTTTCCCAACTAGTTTCCCTGTCTCCAGTTACACTGTCCTTCAATCTATCCTTCAGAAATCTGGAGGGATTTTTAAAAAATCATATAAGATTGTAGCACCTCTCCTAGGTTTTTTTTTAAAGATTTTTTTTTATGATTTATTTATTTATTTATACAAGAACTGGGGTCCAGGCCAGATGCACGGGAGGGTAAGCAGACTCACCAGAGACAGAGCGGGGGACAGAACAGGCAGACTGACTGAAATACACTGCTGAGGGGAATAGCAGGCGAGACAGGAGAGGTCTGCTGCGCCAACTGGCTGTCTCTCTGGCTGGCTGGGTTCGAACCCACACTGCAGAGGCTGCAGATAGCTTCACAGCACTGCGCTCAACCGCCTGTGCTACCAGGGAGGCCCGGTTCTTAGAAACTTTAGAAAGAAATTCAACCTACAAGCAGGACAAGAATTCCTTTCCTTAGGAAATGAAAAAACTATAATAAACCATCTGTTTGATCTCTTAAGTGATGATACATTTCATTAATGCAGTTCATCATACTTAGTCTCTAATATTTTGCAGTGGCCAGCTGATTGACTTTAAGGAGGTAATTTTTAGGACCTCCCCGGTGGCGCAGCGGTTGAGCGCTGGGTTGCGAAGCTGCCTGCAGCCTCTGTGGCGCCAGTTTGATCCCTGGCTGCTCCCTGGCCACCGGAGGAGGATCCCACATGGCGCGAGGACCTCTCCTGCAGCCCGCTGCTCCCCTCAGCAGTGTACTTCTGCCTGCTCTGCTCCCTGCTCTGGCTCTGGTGAATTCTCTCACCCTCCTGCGCTTCTGACCGTACCCAGTGCATGTATGAACAAAAAAACAAACGAACAAACAAACAAATAAATAAATACAACATGCCTCTATTAAGAAAAAAAAAAAAAGGAGGTAATTTTTAGAACCCCACTTCTGGTATATTCTATCAGAGTCACCTTTGGCATTTAATCACCTCACTATAATTCCGTGCTAACTAAAAATGATGATTAATTACTCATAGGGATGTTGTGAAGATCAAATGAGTGGTGGAAATCATAGGCATTCTGTAAAAGGCTGCACAAATATTAGCTGTTGTTAAAATAAATATTGCATTTTGAAATGTTTTGAAGAAATAATACTAGTCTGACTTTACTTGACATATGTTTTGAATTTTAACACCAATCTGCAGGATGTTACAACATAGATACAGGCCTTAGATATTTAAGGGAAGAAGGATGAAAAGGAACAATTTTGACCGATTTAGTCAAAATTTTCTTTGAATTATGAATTTTTCTTCACTTTTGTTTTTCAGCAGCGCTAATGCAAAGTTGATGACAAATGCACAAGTCAGAACAGAGACAAAGTAATAATATCTTAATTTTAAGCATCTACAGGGACTTTCAAAAAGGGACTTTCTCAGTGAGTTCTTGGAATACTAGGAAGGGCTCTGCTCTCAGATAGGAAAATAACTTAGAGAAACAGTATTATCAGATGGGGAAGAGATAAAGAAAGAATTTAGTTTCTGAAGCAAGAGTTCTCTTTCCCTCCCCAGGGAGATTCTCCTACACAAGCTTTCTAAGATTAAGTATATGTTCCATGAGACAACATTACACATCAAGATGGATTTACAGATCTTGAAATGAGCACCACTCCATCTCCTCCCCCTCTGCCCTCCACCAATTTAAGGAATGCAAAAGGGAGACATCCTTTTGATCAATTTTTTTTTTTAATGAAGGGTAGTCAAAATGTATTATTCCTTGATTTAAGGTCCAAAGCTTCCAGAATATTTCAATCACTGAGCCCAAAAGAAAGATTGCTGACAGGGATCCCCAAATTCCTACGTGCCCTGGTAACAACCCTTGTGGCCACCATGGACTTTCCTTTCCTTCTGAGACCTCAGCAATAACCCCTGGTATTTTCTTTCTTCTTACTCTTGGCATGCAGTTTGCAGCGCAGGTTTTGGTATTTTTAGATGTTCAAAATTTTAATTTAACAGTCTAAGCAGAACCTTTCCTATCTTGCTGATATCCACCCCAAGGGGAGGAGGACCCTAGGCAAAAGAATGCGAAGGGATGGAGCTGCGACCCAAAATCTAAGTTGGGGAGACCTGGTCACTTCCCAGAGACAGCAAGGCCCGAGGAGTCGGGGTAGGGGGGGCGAGAGTGGGCGCCGAGGACCCCCACGTGACGGCGGGGCCCGAGGCAGGACCGACCCCTCCCCTCCGCCCGCCGCCGGGGGGCGCATGCGCAGCCAGTGTTAGTGATGGAGGAGAGAAGATGGCGGAAGCGGAGTGAGTGACTTGCTGGTGACTGATGTCGTAACGGGGGTGGGGGGGGCGAGTGGGGCAGCGACACGTCCCCCAAGGGGAAAGCTCAGGGCCCTTTCGCGGGCAGTGCGGGGAAGGGGAGACCCGAGAGCGATCTTACCGTGGGGGGGCCCGCTCGGCCCGTGTCGGGGGGCGGAGGCGAACTGTGAGCGTCTGTTACCTCCTGGCGGGAGCGCTCTTTCTGGCGTCTGGTCCCGGATCTGCTGGGCCCTTTACGCCGGGTCACCGCGGGGACCCCGGCCGTGGGGGTCCTTCGGGGGGATGAACCCCGGTGGCCGCTTAGACGCTGTCATCCCTGCAAGTGGGCCCCGCGGGCAGCCGTGGTAAGGCCGCCCGCGCCGAGGGCCGGCGGAGGCTGGGTTAGGCAGGGCGGGCACTGCCAGGCCTCCTTCGCGCTCCCCTCCTTCCCGCCCCAGCGCCACCCCACTCCTTTTCTGGGGGGAACCCGAGAAGCCCGGCGCCCTCTCCGGGGAGGCGTGGAGGAGGTGTCCCAGCAGGCCTGGGAGCGGCGGGGTCCGCTGCGGTTCTGTGGAGACTGAAAACCCCCTGGAAGGAAAGCACCGCTTTCCTCGGGGCTCTGGCTGCAGTTTTAGTGCCTCCCTCGCGGGTCACATTCTTGTGTAGCTGTGTGATGGTATGCTTGGTTAGCGACTCAAACTTACTGTTTACTTAGTAGGCCTCTTGAGCACCAGAACTGCCAGCTGTTATTTTGCTGGCATCACTGTGCAGAGACGGTGAAGTTATCAAAATTGTTCTTTTGTGTCAGGTCTGCAAACGCAGTGCAAGGGCTCGGCCAGTTTCACTCCCCAATGTTTTGACTTATGCCTAGAATTTGGATTCGCTGTGACCATTTTTGGTTAGTTACTGAACTACCGAGGACATGGTTGAGCAGAATAGCACTCTAAAAGGATCAGAGTTTTTGCTTATCACTGGTAGGTGGTTCAGAAGTATTATTGCAGGCAATTATTTGGTAAAAAGTTTACCTTATCTAACACTAAATCTGTGTGATGTGGCGCAGTTACTTTATGATGCTGTGATTCGATGATTGGAAGACAGTTTGCAAAGCTATTAAACAGGGCAGCATAAAGAGGTGTGAGTCATTTACTAATCAAGAAAGTGGGGAGTCACCTTCCTCCCATTTTTTCTTTTATTTTCCCTCTTATTATCAAATGGTCATTATTTTTACATTTGATTACTGAAAGAGCTTATAAGTACTGTTTACATAAATGATATAAACAAGAAAATTTCTACCTATAAGGGCACCCTATGGAAATAATGCATTCTTACGCAATTTGTGTCAAATTCCTTTGTCTTTTGTGAAATAGAAAGTGTTCTTTTTACATTCTTGTCAGTGCTGCTAGTGTGAGGCTGGTCAAATTTTGTTTTTCAGAAGAAAAGGATAAGAAAGGCAGATAAAAGTAGTATATCCTCAAATGTGCTTTTCACCATTGTGGCACATTTCTGACTTACAGAAGTACTGTAGTTTTAGTTTTGACAACGGACACCTTCAGAACTAACTTGAAATAAAGTATTGTTTGAATTTACTTTATTCTGTATTGAGTGGAATTTTGCACCACAACAGTGAAGTTAATTGGAGGGAAAAGAATCAGAAAGAGGGGTCTCAGTGCCGGTTCGATCCCCGGCCTCTGGGGAGGGTCCCACATGGCTGGACAGACCTCTCCTGCTGCCCGCTGCTCCCCTCAGCAGTGTACTTCGGTCCTTCTGCCTGCTCTTCTCCCTGCTCTGGCTCTGGTGAATTCTCACCCTCCCGCGCTTCTGACTGTACCTAGTGCTTATATAAATAAATAAATCTTTAAAAAAAAAAAAAAAAGAATCAGAATCACTTTTGTCTGGTACAAAAGTGTAATGAGGAAATAACATAGTTATGCTGTTTTCAAAATGTGGAGCCATTTTTTTTTTAAGATTTATTTATTTATGCATACAAAAACTGGGTACAGGCCAGAATTGCGGGCTGGAGGGCTGGCAGTGAGAGGATTCACCGGAGATAGAGTGGAGAGCAGAGCAGGCGGACTGACTGAAACACATCACTAAGGCGAGCAGTGGGCCAGACAGGAGAAGTCTGCTGTGCCATGTGGGTCACCTCCATCACTGGGGATCGAACTCCAGCTGCAGTAGTTACAGATCGCTTCATAGTGCTCATGCTTAACCCCTTGTGCCACCAGGGAGGGCCCCATAATGTGGAGCAATTCTTAAAGAGATTTTTGTAAGGAAGTGGGAAGTTGTCAGCTGTTTCTGTTTCCTCAGAGTAGTTTGTAAGTATAACTCAGTCCTTAGAGGTAGTAAGGACAGTGTTATAGATTAATTAGGGACAAGGCTAGTGTGAGATGATTAAAAAAGCCATTTTTTAAATTAACTTATTTTCTAAAAGAACTTATTTTTAAAGCAAAGTGTATATGGTATACTTTGGTACCATATACCATACTATGGTATGTGACAGAAGTTAAGCTAACACAATTCCTTAAACATTGCATTTTAATGAATAGATAAGAATAGCTTTAATTTATTAATAGTATGTTTAAAAGAATGTGAAGAAATATACATTTAAGAAATATTATTATATATTGTGATACTGCTTACATTTTAATTTCCCCAGATAGTTTAATATTCTCTCATCATTTGTTTTGCTTTTAAAACTCATTATTCATTCAGTATTGATAAGATAAACGTTAGGGTGGGCTTTATCTGAGTTATATATCCTGAGTCTTTTGAACTCAAATTTAGTGGGTATAACTATATTCTCAGTCTTTTGAACTCAAATTTAGTGGGTATAACTATTAAATATGCTATATATTTGTGAAATACTTTTCTAAGTGTTCATAATGGCTGCGTATTTAAATCTGTATTTTATGAGAACATTCTTGGAAGTTTAGATTGTGCTGATAATTTCTTTGAAATAATTAAATGTCTCTTAAAGTCCATAAAATGATGTTTTTGATAATATAAACTCTTTGTGTTAACTGCCAGATTTAAGGACCACAGTGCAGCTATGGATACTGAACCAAATCCTGGAACTTCTTCTGTGTCAACAACAACAAGTAGCACCACGACCACCACCATCACCACTTCCTCCTCTCGAATGCAGCAACCACAGATCTCTGTTTTCAGTGGCCCAGACCGACATGCTGTACAGGTATTTGGTTATAATAATGGGGAACTTAGGACTTAGGATATCATTACTTTTTCCTTAAGCCTGATGAACCTGTTGTTTCTTACCTCAAATGAGTTGCATCATATCCTCTAAATGAATATAGTTAGAATTGTTAATGTTTGAAACAATTAACAGAACTATTTAGTAATCATTATATTGAAAAGACTTACATTTGTCACATGCAACTTATAAAATGCATGGCAGGAAAATTAGGAGGACTTAGATGCTGCTATAATGTGGAGACACTCAACCTAGAGTCTCAACATGCAGAATGAAGTTTTTCTGGGTGATTTCACATTTGAACCCAAATATAGACATAGGAAGATCTAATCAACTCTATAATTTTAAACCCAAGTGGCCTACAAATCCTAAGCAGGAGGATCCATTATAAAGCTCTCTTAAGGGTAGTGGGGAAGGGAATATTTTTAAAAAGTGTCAGGCTCTTCCCTTAGTTGAGAAAATAGTCTTTATTTGGTTAACCTTTATAATATGGAGGTTGATGCAATATGGTATTGCATAAAAAGGGCCTGGATGTTGTCTGATATGTTCTTTGTTTGAATTTCATTTTCTTTCTTTATCATTGGTAACTGTGTAGCCTGGGGTGAGAGGCATAATCTTGAGCCCCTGGAAACTGTAAAGTGAAGATGAGACCACATACTGCATTTGTTATCATGAGGATTAAAGGAAGCTAAGATCTATGTGACGCACATTTATATACTCAATAAATAGCAATAGTGACTGTTTATTAAAAAATATTTGTGTGCCAACTATTTGGTAAATATTTTACATGCCTCATTTCTTAATCCTTACCACACCTCCATGAAGTGTATACTATCATTATGTCCATTGAGAAAAGTGATATTTTAAATAGGCTAAATAGCTTGCCTAAATTCCTGTATCTCGTAGGTTATCTGACTTTAGAGTTGTACCCTTAACCACTGTGAATTCTTATTTTTTCCCCGTTCCTACTTTTATTCTGTAGAATCACCATAATTGCATTTTATCCTGAAAAGATACAGTACTCTTCTTGGGCTTTTTTCCTAGAGTGGATATCCCAGTATAATGTCTACTTAGCTGTTCTGGAGTTTAGGATTCTGAAGTTACCATGAAATGGTGCCAGAATTGTTGGAGACCCAGTCATTTTGGCAGAAATTTAAACTGGAGTGTAGAATGTTTTTAATGTCAGTGTTGTTCGTTCTTTCTCTGAGGCATGATATATAGGGAAGAGTGTCTAGACCTTTGAGCATACAGATGATATAATACCTTAAGGTACCATTATGTTCTCTAGTTTTTTTTTTTTTTTTTTAAAGATTTATTTATTTATGCATACAAGAGCTGGGGTACAGGCCAGAGGTGTGGGGGGTGAGAGGATTCACTAGAAACAGAATGGGGAACAGAACAGGCAATTGACAGAAGTACACTGCTGAGGGGAGCAGCGGGCAAGTCAGGAGAGGTCTGCTGCGCCATGTGGGTTGCTCCCTGGCTGGCCAGGAATTGAACTCATGCTGCAGTGACTGCGGACTGCTTCATAGGTTGCGTCTTAACCTCTGCGCCACCAGGGAAGCCCTGTTCTCTAATTTTTATGTAAGCTGGATGAGATAATAAAAAATAAAGTGTATTTGAGAGCCCCGGGAAACTGTAAAATGAAGATGAGACCACCTACTGCATTAGTTATTATGAGATTAAAGGAAGCTAAGACCTATGTGACGCACATTCATATACCCAATAAATAGCAATAGTGACTATTAAGAGAGGTATAAAGACATGTCTCATAGAAAGCACTAAATATATATCTTATGAGATCACATAATATAGCTTGCCTGAAAATGCAATCAAATCAATATTATCAAACTAAGTAGTTCTTTCCAGTTTTATTATCAAAACTAAGTAGTTTTTTCTTTTTCAGTTCTTTGAATTCACTTCACCCCCCCCATTGTTTTTTCAGAGAAAAATAATAACATTGTGCCATACCTTTAACTTATATTTAGGAGTCTCATGAGTGTAGCTTTGAATGGTTATGAACGACTGTGCTGAGAATATGCAAAACAATAAAAAAATTACTATGACAAAAATATGTGTCAAGTAGATTAATCATTTGTTATTTCAGTTTGATTTTTGAATTTTATTTTGGAATTAGAAGAACGTGTATCATTTTACCTGACAAAAAAGGGCATACTGTAACTTTAAACCACTTAATGCTAGTTTTACAATTCCCTGCATATAGGTGTCAAGAGCTTGTCATTGATTTTGTGACAGCAGTATATACATAACATGTGTAGCAATCTGTTATTGGAGAAATGAGATTAGAAACATATGAAAGTAAAAAACAAGAAATATGCTGTCTTGAAATTAGACCTAAGGAGTCATAACTTTGTAGTTCAAGGTGTTCGGACTTAGACCTTCAAACTATAGTTGAATTATGGCTCTCTTACTCCTTAGGCTCTTTGAAAACTCTGGGTTGAGAAATAAACCCACAGATACATGGACAGTTAATCTATGACAATAGAGCTAAAAAAATAAACTGAAACAAAGCTAGCCTCTTCAATAAATGGTGTTGGGAAAACGAGACAGCTACATGCAAAAGAATGAAACTAGACCTCAATCTTATACCATACACCAAAATCAACTCAAAAGGGTCAAAGACTTGGATGTAAAACCTGGAACCATAAGGTACATAAAAGAAAACACAGGCAAAACATTTTATTACATAAGCTTTAGTGATGCTTTTGGTGATTTGTCTCCAACAACAAGGAAAACAAAAGAGAATATAAACAGCTAGGACTACCTCAAACTAAAAAGCTTCTGTACAGTGAAAGGAGCCATAAATGAAAATGAAAAGATCCCCAGCTGAATGGGAGAAAATGTTTGCACACCATACATCTGACAAAGGACTGATATTAAAGATATACAAGGAACTCAAACTCAACAAAAATAACCCAATTAAAAAATGGCCAAAAGAACTAAACAGACACATCCCAATGAAGACAGCCAATGCAAACAGCCAGGGAGCACATGAAAAAAATGTTCACAATCACTTATTATTAGAAAAATGCAGATCAGGACCACAACGAGATACCATTTCTCACCTGTGAGAAAGCCCCATATTGAAAACACCAGAAGTAGTAGGTGCTGGTGAGAATGTGGATTAAGGGGAACCCTTCTACATTGCCGGTGGGAATGCAAACTGGTTCAGCCCTTATGGAAGGCAGAATGGAGCTGTCTCAAAACATTAAAAATGGATCTGCTATTTGACTCAGTAATTCCACTACTGAGCATCTGTCTAAAAAATTCAAAAACACTAATTTGAAAGGAAATTTGTACTCCCGTGTTTATTGCAGCACTATTTACTATAGCTGAATTACGGAAACAACCTAGGACCCCAGAACAGTTGAATGGATCAAGAAGATGTGGTATATATACATAGTGAAATATTACTCAGCAATTGAAAAAAAAATATGCCATTTGTGGCAACATGGATGAAACTTGAAGGGATAATGCTAAGTGAAGTAAATCAGAAGGAGAAAGATAAATACCAGATGGTGTCACTAATATGTGGAATATAAAGTAACTAAACTAAGAGTCAGTTAAAGACAAGCTTAAAAACTAACCCTTTATAGCTGATTATAGAACCGAAGTACCCATGTGGGAAGGGGTTGGGGAAGGGCTAAGAACAGAGGGAAGGAATCACAGTAGTCAATGGCGGTGGAATATGGGTGAGTTAGTGGCAGTGAAGTTTCAATACTAGTGAGATTGAGGGTGTTTTTGAATGTTTATTTAACCCTATTTTGTGAATTGCCTCTACTAGGCAATTTGTACAGGTTAGTTGCTTTTAGTGATACCTAACTATGAAAGAAAATTATGTCCATTAGCTTAATGACACTGGGCATTAAAGTAGTGAAATTTTAGATTGGCACATTTTAATAATTTATTTTATGGTTAAGATTGTGTTTGACATTGGTTCAATTGACTTATCACAGGTAATTCAACAGGCATTGCATCGTCCTTCCAGCTCAGCTGCTCAGTACCTTCAGCAAATGTATGCAGCTCAACAGCAGCATTTAATGCTGCACACTGCAGCACTTCAGCAGCAGCATTTAAGCAGCTCCCAGCTTCAGAGCCTTGCTGCTGTTCAGGTGAGACTGAGATAAATTATGATGAATTTATGAGACCAAAGATGACGTTATCTGCAGATAACTATTGAAAATAAATATGCTGGGTATTATTTCAGAGTTGTCAAGTGTGCTGTGATTATTTTTTGTTAAAGATATGTAATAGGCTGCCAATAGAAATTAACTGAAAAAAATGGCTTTGTTTTTTATTTGAGCACTGTTGCTATTTTTCATTCCAGTGATTTATATCTATATTGCAGAAATATGCAACATTAAGATGCAGTGTGGTCTTAATCTTGTGTGTAAAATCCTAGGTACAATAGTGAATACTTAGGGTTACATGAATTGTATTTACATTTTAATAAGTGATTTTTTTTTGTAAGCAATTTATACTCATTAAAAAAAGCAAAAGTATAAATTGTTTATAAGAGGTAGAGTAGAGGTGTTCTTTTCCACACCTACTACTGTTTTCCATTCTTCAGAGGTGGCCACTGGAACAGCTTAATATATATTCCTCCATACATTTTCCATGTAAAAAGATGTATATGCATCGTTCTAAAATCCAACCATATTGTTCTTAACAGGATTTTATGACTGAATTTATATTTAAAAAATTTTCATTACTACTATATTGTTTGTTTCTATAAAACTCTATGTGATATTTAATCTTAAATCTCTGTACCAGAGAAGGCACTCAGCTGACTGAACCTGAAAGTGAAAAAATCTTTTATCTGTTATTTCTGCAGTACAATTTTAGGTAACATCATATTCATGATATGACTTAGGAAGCTAAAGCCTACTGGCACTTAATGTAGCTCCAGTTTCCTTTCAGAATGTGGAGTAGTGATTCCATATCAAAGAAGACAGAGACCTGTAGAATAAAACTGACAATGAGTGCAGCTATAAAAATAAGATTAGCTTTTGGGTCCCTCTGATTTCATCATTCAGCCTTTTCTTTTTTGTCTTAATCTGTTTGGCCAAAGCTTAATCCATGTTGACTGTAAAAATGTGTGTTCGTACACAGATATTTTGACTTTTATTATGCTTTTGTGGTATCCTGCTACCAGAAAGTTTTTATAGACATATTATAAAGATCTTATTATTTTAGGCAAGTTTGTCCAGTGGAAGGCCATCTACATCCCCCACAGGAAGTGTCACACAACAGTCAAGTATGTCCCAGACATCTGTAAGTGCCCTAATTTTTTTCATGGATTAAGAAATTTTAATTATTGCTTTCCAGAAAAAAATTGCTAATATTTACAAAGCTGTTATTGTATACTTGTTGAATTCTATTTAAGTAGCAAGTGCTTAGAAAGAGAAAAGGTAAGGTTCAAGAACTCAGAACTAATGTTAAACTTATGAAAATATGAGTGTTTTTTCCCTTTTAAAACTCCACCTTTTTAATTGAAAAATCTGAGTTTTAGAAATGGTTTTCTTATTTCTTTTACATGTTTTCTCACTGATTACATTTAGGTCATATGTGATTTAAATGATTTCAGTTTTCAGTGTGTGCTGAAAATCTGACATACACAGTGCACTTTGAATTTCTTTACACAGTAAAGAATGTTGTACACTTGGTGGACATCTAAATGTTTCTAGCTTTTCTGTGCAATTCAAATTTTAGAAATTGTAGTTTTCAGGTTATGCTCACCTGAGTTATTTAGATCAAATTTGTGAGTGTTTTTTCAATATAGTATACTTTGAAAAAGAAGTAAAAGAAAACTGATTTACTATTTAACCCTATTTTGCGAATTGCCTCTACTAGGTAATTTGTATAGGTTAGTTGCTGTTAGTGATATCTAACTATGAAAGAAAACTATGTCAGTTAGCTTAATGACACTGGGCGTTAAAGTAGTGTCATTAAGCTGGTGTCCAGTTTCTCAGATAAAAGAAATTTACAGGTATGGTAATACTTATTGAATTGCAAGAATATCCCAAATTTTTCTTAATACGCTGTACTCAGATTCACCAGTTGTTGGCATTTTGGCTCACTGATTTATCATTCTTTATCTGTACATATACACATACCTTTTTTCTGAACCAAAAATTGTTGATAAAAAAACCCAAAAATTTGTTGATAAGTTGAGCCACTTCTTTACTGCTAAATACATTTTAGTATTTCCTAGCAACAGAATTCTTTTACCAACCCACATGAAAATTTGACATGAAGTGCAGGAATTCAGGAAATTTGACATGAAGTACAGTCCATATTTAAAGTTCATCAGCTTTTCTAGATTCCTCAACCTCATCATTATAGACATGATGGGCAAGTAATTCTTTAATGTGGGAGGCTATCCTGTGTAGCATCCCTATCGTATACTCACTAGGAACCAGCAGGTTATGATAGCTCCTTTCCTCAGCATGTTAATCAAAAATGTCTCCAGGCACTGCCACATTTTCCTGGGGTGGGCAAAATTCTTCTTGTAGCCTTGAGTTAAGCTAATAATGTCCTTTGTAGCTGTTTTTCCTGATTAAAGATAGTATTATTTTGATACTTTGAAAAATTGACTCCAGTAGAGTATAGTTTGTAGATTACAAGGAACTGAAGGTGAATTTGTGCTGTAGTTCTTTAGCTAAGGGTATGGTCTTTGGTTTCTAAGTATATGCTATGGTGAATATATAGATATTTTTCTGCTATCCATCTGACATTTTTAATTAAAAAATTCTTTTATGGTGTGGAGGTATCCTGGAATAGGAATAAAATTAGTTAAAAAATTAGTTATGACTTGAAAATGTTAGACTGAAGAAAATGAAAAATTTAAGTAACGTTATCTAGCCCTAAGCTATTTCAGTAGTTATTGATGTCAGGTATGTGTGTATATAATACATTGGTAGTACAGGAAAAATGTAGTAAACATTTTTTGGGCTGGTTAAAAAAATGGTAGACAAATTCTTTATTCTATGAAATACTGGGATAATGTTAGAGTATATATGTATTAAGTATGTGTTTTGGATTTTTTTTCCCCTTCACCATATTAAAGGTATCATTTTAGATTTTTTTTATTATGATTTTATATACTGAGTATTCACAGACATTATAATTCCAGGATTGTGCTTATTTTTTATGACATTGCTAGTGCAACTTGTAGTAAACCAGGCAACCTGATATGATAAAATATGCCAGAACCTTTGACTAGCAGGCTGTGGGGTGGGGGGTAGAAGGCAAAGAAATAGTGAGAACAGGTGCCCAGGAAAAAAAGAAAAAGAATAATGCATCACATTGGTTTTATTTTTATCCTATAGAGCAGTAAATCCAGTGAGTTAACTGGTAGTCCAAATATGAAAGCAGCTTAGTAAATTTAGATCCCTATCCAAAAGAGACGTAGAGCATGGCTTAGCAAATTTAAATCAGTATCCAAAAGAGAGGTAGAGCATGGCAGCAGAAATCTCTAGATAGTGATAATAATGAACCATCATTGACAGTGTGGTAGTTTTCAGAGTTTTTGTTATTTTGAGGTAGGTTTCTTGATAATAGTGAAAGCCCTGAGGAGAGGTCCAGCCTGGAGGTAGGTTGTCAAGTCATCGGCCAAATAGGCTAGGGTTTAGAATAGCAGTGGGATCCCAATGTGGAAATGCAATATTATTTTTTAAAAAAAGTTTAAAAGTCCATTATATCACCTGGTGAGTCTGTGTATGTATTTTGGAGAGACTGTTGTTAATTGAATGCATAGGTAATTAGAATTTTCTTGTTTCCCCGCATTAGAACAGAAGGACTATTTCTAGACTCATCAGTAAATGAAAGCAGTGAGTTTATGATTGTTTTGCTCTGAAACTAGTTGGGACTGAGCCTTTAGCTTGGTGTCTTTGTATTTCAACTGAATGGTACTAAGATTTCCTTAAATTTGATTTGCTAAAATGAAATTTAAACTAGTTTAAAACTTCTGCAAAAAAAAAAAAATCAACAGTTAATAAATAGCAAAATGGCTGCAAATATATTTGCATCGTGTATGTCAATCAACTTATATTTGTGAAATATGAGGGTTAATTTTTTTCCTTTGTAATTATCTAGAGTTCTTTTGGGTACACCTATAATGCCCTGACTTTGTAGGGAATGGTTACCAGCAACTTAGGCTTTTTTCTACTCTTTCTAATGAAGTATGTTGTTTTTCTGTGTAGAGCTTGTTGGCCCTTCAAGTACCTTTCTCGCTGGTTTCCTTCTCTTTCTGATCATTCTCTCTCTCTCTCCCTCCCCCCCCCCCACCTAAAGTGTTTAGTATGAGCATTAATTCTCTTGGCAAGAATATTGCCCTTTATATATTTGTTCACAACAATGCTAACTGCATGCTGGGTACTGTTAGTTCTTCTGGTTTTGCCATGGTAACATTGTTGGGCACTCTAGGTTTTGGTTTTTTTTTTAAAGATTTATTTATTTATACATACAAGAGCTGGGGTGTAGGCCAGAGGTGAGGGAGGGGGCGAGAGTGTTCACCAGAAACAAAGTGGGGAGCAGAACAGGCTGACTGAAAATACACTGGGCGAGAAAGGAGAGGTCTGCGTGCCACGTGGATCAGCTCCTTGGCAGGCTGGGAATGGAACTCATGCCATGGTGGCTTCCGATATCTTGATGGGGGGTGTGTCTTTAACTCCTGTGCTGCCAGGGAGGTCTCCACTCTGTTTTGTTTTTTTTTTTAAATACCCATTACCTTGATGTCTACAATATCTTGTCTCACATGTATGGGGCCAATGAACAACTTCATATTTTCTAAAAGGTCTAAAGAGCATATATTGGGTACACCTTCTTACCCTTTTTGTTGGTCATTTTGGTGAATTACTGGGAGTTGGTAGTTCCAGCAGAAAGAAAAGGGACTCTTTAGTTGCAAGATGAATATTAAGAATTCACAAAAAAACCTGCATTGATAATTTTCAAAAGAAAAACTTTTTAGCTCTTAAACATACGAAAATATATTTACGTTATTAGTAATAAGGAAATGTATGTAAAGGCTTCAGTGAGTTGTATTTTCACCTATCAAATATGAAAACAAAAACATTGAGGGCCTGAGAAAGTAGGTACCCTGGATACAGCATTGGTGGAATGTAATTGGTAGTACTTTTCTGGGGGATAACTTGGCAGCAGTGTGTGTGAAAATTTATTTTTAAAAAAGATTTATTTATGCATACCCAAACTGGGGCACAGGCCAGAGGTGTGGGGGGTGAGAAGATTCACCAGAGACTGAGTGGGGAACAGAACAGGCAGACTGACTGAAGTACACTGCTGGGGGGAGCAGCAGGTGAGACAGGAGAGGGCTGCTGTGCCATGTGGGTTAGCTTCCTGGCCGAGGATCAAACTTGTGCTGCAGTGGCTACAGATTGCTTCATAGGTTGCGTTTTAACCCCATGTGCCACCAGGGAGGCCCTGTGTGTGAAAATTTAAAACTGCACATACCCTTTAACAAAGCATTGACATTTTTAATGTTGTTTTTTACTGAAAATGACAGAATTATGATTATATTATGTAAAAATGACATAATTGCAAATATGCATTTTTTAAAAAGATTTATTTATGCATTCAAGAGCTCGGGTACAGGCCAGCAGTGTGGGACAGAACTGAGACAGAGTGGGGAACAGAACAAGCAGAATGGCTGAAATACATTGCTGAGGGGAACAGTGGGTAAGTCAGGAGAGGTCTGTTGTGCCATGTGGGTCAGCTCTCTGGCTGGGCATTGAATTCATGCTGCAGTAGCTGTGGATTGCTTCATAGTACTGATGCTTAACCCCTTGCACCACCAGAGAGGCTCCCCAAATATGCATTGTTTGTAACAGTGAAATGCTATAAGCAATATAAATATCATTAATTAAGGATCAGTAATCTAAATGATTTAATTTATATAATGGAATACTAGAGCTTCTAGAAACACTGTGTATACAGAGACTTAGGTTTTTGTTTGTTATTAAGTGATCATACTGCTGTGTATAGTATGACCAACCTCATTTATATTATTAAGTGTTCTGATTCTCAATTCTAAAATTTCCATTTGTCTCTCTCTCTCTTTTTTTTTTTTTTAAATATTTATTTATTTATTTATACAAGCACTGGGTACAGTCAGAAGCGCAGGAGGGTGAGAGAATTCACCAGAGCCAGAGCGGGGAGCAGAGCAGGCAGAAGGACCGAAGTACACTGCTGAGGGGAGCAGCGGGCGGCAGGAGAGGTCTGCACGCCATGTGGGACCCTCACCTGGCGGCCGGGGA